AGGTGCAGGCAGGGGAGAGGTGCAGGCAGGGGAGAGGTGCAGGCAGGCAGCTGCAGAGCTGCTTGCAGGGCTCAGAAAGTGTTCTTGTTTCCCTGCCCCACACTGAGCACACGGTGCAGCTCCATCCCTGGTGCCACCAGCTCCCTCACCCACCCCAGGGCTGTGCAAACACCTTCCACGCCTCCTGGGGAGAGCACAAAGGGCTGATGATGGGGGGAAAAAAAACACCAAAACACCCCAATCAAACCCACCTTTAAACCTTGGGGCTGCAGAGCACCCCATTTACCTCTGGTCAGAGTCGGCAGCAACCCCAGGAGGTGCTGGGAGCAAAGGATTCCTGCAGAAGTCCATCAGTTCAGGAGAGCTCTGGTGAGCTAAGCCAGGGCTGGCAGGGCTGTGCTTCACACCAGGGTTTCTCCTTTGCTGCTCAAGCAGCACAGTGTGCGTGGGAGGCTGGCTGAAATAGCTTCCTCACCAGGGCAGGGTGAGCTGAAGCTCTTGGCTTTTTTTGCATTATGGGCATGAAGTTGTTTTTTTTTAGGGGGGTTTGTTGTTTATTTGTTGTGTTTGGTTTTTTTTCCCCAGCCCCTTTGGAAGTGGTGACTATTGGGAACAGGCACAGCCTGCAAAGCCCCTGCCTGGCCAGGGGAGCAAGAGCCACTCTGAACTCACCAAGACCTGGCTTGAAAAAAGACACCCAGGGTGTCCAAAGAGGAAGGGGGAACCTACAGAACCCCCTGCTGCAGGACCAAAGGGCTGTGCTGCCTCCAAATGCAGACAAACTCACCCAAGGAGGAAACCATTCCCTAAGGACCAGCTGGCAGGTGCCAGGGCAAGTCTGTCACCAGAGCAAAGAGTCATGGAATTGTTTTGGTTGGAAAAGACCTTTCAGATCACCAAGTCCAACCCTTCCCCCAGCCCTGCCAAGGCCACCCCTGCCCCATGTCCCTCAGCACCACATCTACAGGGCTTGGAAACCCCTCCAGGGATGGGGACTCTGCCCTGGGCAGCCTGGGCCAGGCCCTGACAGCCCTTTTGGGCAAGAAATTGTTCCCAAGATCCAACCTCAACCTCCCCTTGGCACAACCTGAGGTGCCAGAGAAACTTGAGAGTTCTAGAAAAAACCATCAGAACACGAGCTGCCAACTCCTACTCTGCTTTCCACCTCCAGGACTGGGTGGCTGGGAAGGATACAGGATGGAAGACAAACAGAAGAGGTTTTTCTCCAGCTTCCCTGGAAAACCAAGAGCAGTGAGCTGCTGGCTGGCTCATGGGACATGCACTGAGCAGCTGGAGGGCACGTTCTCTGCACAGGTTGGTTTTGGGGAGGACAGAGGATGCTAAATTTTGTGTGAATAATGAGAATTCTTCTTCTTCTCCCTAAAACTCTTAGTGCAGCATTTCTCCAGCTACAGGCCACGATGACCTTGCTAATTCACTTGCTCCTGGGACACACTGGGAAGTGCTAATTGCAGTTAATGGCCATGAGGGCAGGAAATGGCCAGCACACCATAACTTTCTGCCTTTGGCTGAGAAGAAAGCAGGGGTTTGGAGGAGCAGGGGTGGTGCTGGAGCAAGGTGG